AATCAAACCACCAAATTGTGATGGAAAAATATTTTCACAAAGACTCAAATTTTACCACCTATGTCCTTCTATGAAAAAGTTACATGAAAAGGTTATACAGAAAGACGATAAGGAAAACAAAAAAGATAACATCTGAAATAAAAGAAACAGGTAGCTATTATCTAGTATGAATTAATAACAACAAAAACAACAACAACAAAACACATGGAGAATCTCCTGGACCTTGATTCTTGTTATAGCCTTTTTCAAACAGCAAACGTTCAGAGACAAAGCATTGGATTTCCTGTTTGGAGAAATGTATATCAAGGTCCTCTGTCCACTTTTCAACTGGATTGTTTGAGGTTTTCTCGTGTCGAGTTGTATGAGTTTCTTATATATTTTGGATATTAACCCCTTATTGGACGTATCATTGGTGAATATCTTCTCCCATTCAACAGGTTGTCTTTTCATTTCGTTGGGTATTTATCCAAAGAAATCCAAAACACTAATTTGAAAAGATATATGCACCCCTATGTTCATTGCAGCATTATTTACAATAGCCAAGATATGAAAGCAACCTAAGTGTCCATCAATAGAAGACTGGATAAAGCAAATGTGGTATATACATACACCATATGATTTCACTTACATGTGGAATCTAAAAAACAAAATAAACAAAATGGAAACAAATTCATAGGCAAAGAGAAGAAACTGATGGTTGCCAGATGGGAGTGGGGTTGTGGGGCCAGGTGAAAAAGATGAAGGAATTAAGAACTACAAATCGGTAGTTAAAAAACAGTCACGGGATGTAAAGTACAACATAGGGAATATAGTCAATAATATTGTAATAACTATGTATGGTACCGGGTGGGTACTAGATTTAGCAGGATCACTACGTAACTTATATAAATGTCTAACCACTATGCTATACACCTGAAACTAATATAATATTGAATGTCGACTATAATTGAAAGATTAGCAAGATTATTTTAATACTGAATATAAAATAATCTCACATTAACCCTCAATGACTGAGGTGAGTTTATCAAACACTAGGTTAAAGCAGTTAATATGACAGAAGGCAATGATGACATTTGGTTTGCATAATTTTTTGGTTTGGACATAAGATGGTCTCTTTCAAAGTATGAAGTTTCGATTAATTTGCTTTATATTTGAGTTATGTGCACAACACACTGCTTTCACCACACTAAAGGAAAGAAGAAAAAGATGTGATTTTATGATAAAGATTATATGGATCTGGATCAGACAGGAAGGGAGAAAAGCTGAATGACAATAGAGAATACAACTACTTTACATTCCATTGGTAAAAAGCAGGGTTAGAAATAAATATTAGGGAATATAATCTTATTTTAATTCAAGCTGCTTCTGAATCATATTCATTATAATAATCAATGTTTCCATAAACATTATTATCTTCATCATCACCGCCACCATTGTAGCCCTGAACATGCAAGATTTAAAGAACTACAACCTAGACTAACTTCCATGAGACAGGGTGTTTTTAATGGACTGTCCTCAACTTGGAGTTCCTTCTTCCTCTGTGTATCTTATAATATTGATTGATTTACCTTTAGGTGTGATGCACTGTGTTCTTTTTAAGTTTGGCATGTCTCACTTGGAAATCCCTTCCACATGTGCCATCTTCAGGATCTGCCACTGGATCCTTCAATGTAACTGCCTATCACTGTGTAAGTTATAGTCCAGACTCTGTCATTAACTAGCCAGGGAAATTGGCGCAGGTCACCTGACCTCATCACACTCGCATTTCCTGAACCCATAATATGACAAGATTAAGCTTTCCCTTAAGAGCTCTTTCTAGCTTATTTTTCTTTCCACTTTAACAGTTTATCATTTTATCGCTTTATATAGTCAAGGAAAAGATTTTCACAGAAACTAAAGCAGAAAATATTTTAAAACATCGTTTTTGTATATAACGTTATTTTTTAAATCATTTCCCCCTTATTCTTCAGGGATGCAGTAACTTTAACAAACTCAGTGATATCAAACTCTGAATCAGAGGAATTGGCAAAAGTTCAGATTATGAGCTAAATGGCTCAATAAGTGATCGAAAAATCAGACATTTTACATTCATCTTGTCACATTATCCGGCTAATTTCCAAAATTTCTGGGTTGGGGAGTGAAAAGATTTTCTCTGAGGTACCACCGTGGAAGGGCAGAAAGAACAGCTCCCTTATTCTGTTCTGTAAGCAGACAGGCGTATAACTCTCTTCATAATGCATCTGGAGGGCAAAACGAAGAGACTCCAGATATAACAAGGCCAGGACAGGCGAACTGCTAGAGAACAGTGATTTTGCTCTTTCTTTAAATCCATATTCCCCAAAGCACATTCTTGTTATTTGATATCTAAAACCATGATCTGCACAATTCAGGATGATGCAGGTTTCAAACTGAAAAGATATACCACATGCTTGTAAATAAATTTACTTCTATACTTTTTGAGTTTAATTGCCACTATACAGGAAAACTTAATGTGTCAACTTCATTATTTTCATGCCAAAGTTAATGGAAGAGATGAATACGAAGCATATCATTTCTAGGTCAAAATGTCCATTAATAAATGACTAGTACTATTTGTATTCAGAAGGCCAATACTTAAAAACAAAAACATTTAAACAGTCTCCCAAAATGAAAAAAAAAAAAAAGAGAGAGAAAAGTATTATGTGTAGTTTCCTTGAACAAGAAATTATACACTTAAATAAAATATGGTCATTTTAACACTTTGGTCATTTCAACATTTTGCTGTTTTATTGTGAAGTGAATTTTTAATAAAATTCAACACAACAGGGGCAATTCATCATGAATAATTTAAGATGCTGATCATGAAACTACATCTTCACCTTCCTTCTTAGCTTTATGTTGGATTCAGCTGTGGGGAGTTGGGTCAGCAGATTGCCTCAAGCTGACAGCTCTTTCAGAGTCCTCCTTAGCTACAGAGAGGTCCTGGCCTGAGGTTATACCCCTTTGGGAGGCCGCCTTTATCCAGTGGTGAGGGGAAGTGGGAGGTGGACAGTGAAAGGGGCACTCAGTAGGAAATAGCCTGGGCTGTGTTGGGCCTGCAGCTCAGTTCGACTTCTTCCTCAGTCCACTCCTGCTTCCTACCTCCTATTTCTCTTCAACAGGCATTGAAAACAGCGTGCAACCCTAGCTCTGTCTCACTATTCTGGAGAAAACAACTTGTGACAATAATATTCAGGGGCCTGAAAAAAGATGATAATTAGTGAAAAGAAGTAAAATGACTAAAACAATATGCAACAAACTACTGAGCACATACTAAGCCCTCAATAAAATGTTTCCTGATTCAAACTCTGTGCGGGAAGAAAAGCAAACGCACATGGTAACTGCAGAGTATGTTGCTGAGAGAAGGTGAGGGATGAAAAAGAGGGTGGAATGGAAAATAATTCCAAGACAAACAATCTAGCCATTAGAAGTTTAGCTCCTTAAAGTCAAATGATTATTAACTATAACAGGATAACATTCTGTTATTCAGAACTTAGTCACATAGCTCCTGTCTGTTCAGGTCCTCTGCCCATTTTTAAATAGGACTGTTTGTTTTTTTGTTGTTGAGTTGTATGAGTTCTTTATATATTTTGGATATGAGCCCTTATCAGAGGTACTGTTTGCAAATATCACTTCCCATTCAGTTGGTTGCCTTTTTGTTTTGTTGATGGTTTCTTTTGCTGGGCAGAAGCTTTTTAGGTTGGTATAGTCCCATTCATTTATTTTTGCTTTACTTCTCTTGCCCTTGGGGTCAAGTTCATAAAATCCTCTCTGAGACCAAGGTCCATTAAGTTTAGTACCTATCTTTTCTTCTATGTATTTTTTTTTTCAGGTCTTATACTTAATCTTTATTCCATTTTGAGTTAATTTTTGTGTATGTCAAATAGCAGTCGTTTCATTTTTTGCTCTAACAGTTTTTACAGATGAAGAAAATGAAGTTTAGAGATAGGATGTTGTGATATAAGAAATATATATTTGGCTTTTATCGCTGGTTTCCGGCATAGAGTTTCTAAAACATGTAACTTCCTGAGTGACAGGGGTTAGAGGAGCATCTACTCTATTTATAATAAGACCCTTTCACTATACCTGAGTTTATCTAATGAGGTGACTCTTGGAGGATGGAGGCTGGTTGTCAGAGGAACCAACCTGATGGTTAGAGAGTGAGGACTTTCAACCCCATCCCCAACCACCAGGGAGGGGCAAAGGGCTGAGGATTGAGTTAATCACCACCAGCCAATGATTTAATCAATCATGTCTTCATAATGAGGCCTCCGTAAAAACCCTCAAAACAAATGAGTTCAGAGTGCTGCCAGGTTAGTGAATGCACCAAAGTGCTGGGAGGGTGTCACCCTTAAACTCCGTAAGGACAGAAGTTCCTATACTCAGGACCCTTCGAACCTTGTTCTATGCACCTCCTCATTGGCTCTTCATTTGTATCCTTTATAATATCCTTTGTAATACACCAGTAATAGTAAAGTGTTTCCCTGAGTTCTGTGAGCCATTCTAGCAAATTATCGAACCCAAGGAGGGAGTCATGAAGATCCTCGATTTACAGGCAGTCAGTGAGAAGTACCCAGACTTGGATTCTGAAGTGGGAGGCAGTCTCATTTACCTGAGCTCTTAACCTGTGGAGTTTGCACTAACTCCAATGTCAGAACTGAATTAAAATTGTAGGACATCCTGTAGATGCACATGGGGAAGCAGGGAATTCCTTGGTGTAGAAGAATCTCACATTTGGTATCAGGAGTGTTACGAGTATAGGAACAGTCTTCCTTCAGAGAGGTTCAATATCATGGTCACAGAGCTACTAAGCAGAGTGGGCTTTGAAGCCAAGCTGTCAAATTTTAAAATCTATACTCTAATAACAAAGTGTTTGAGTAAAATGAAAGCCATCTCATTTTTTTAGAGTCATAATATACACATATGCTTACTGAGCAGTAAAGAGCTGGAAGAAAAACAAAAATTGCCACATGAATTCCTACCTGTGTCTGCCTCATTGCCCGTTCTACTCGGCGTGTGCTTCCTCTCTCAAGTTTTGTCCGGAGGATCAAGGCTGATATCTGAATGGCCCAGAACTTTGGTTGTGAAAGCAAACACTGATGGAAGAGAAAACAGAATAAAATAACAATGACATAAAGTAAGGATAAGTTGGGTGATCTCACTTTGAAGAGAAGAAAATTAATTCTTCCAAAAATATCAGGATACAGCTAAAGGCAGATTTGAAAATCTTGGTGAAAAATAATAAAACATGTGTTTGCAAATATTCTTATCAAGAATGTGGTCATTTGAGCAGAGTCATTACTTAACCTAGTTGACTCATTTTATTGAATAAGTCACTTAAAGAATGAATCAGAATCTTCCTAGATAATCAAAACAAAAAGCAGAATATGTCATACCATAAACTAATAAATCTTTTCAGTTCACAGATTACAATATATATATGAGAAAATAAACTACATAAAAATAGTTTCTCAAATTTGCAATAAATTTTTAAAAATAACCCATATTCACACATGAAAACAATTTTCACTTAAAAAACATCCTAATTCATAGATGCAAATGCAATTTAAATTTGAGTATACAGAATGTCCAAGAAATTAAGTATTTGTTCACTTAAGAGTTAAAGGCATAAGATCTTTTTTAAAATTTATATTACAGAAAACTATTTAAAAATACATGCAAATGCTTTCTGGCCTTGGGTAGTGTAAAGAATCTCCAACTTACTTAAAATCCTCTCCTTGAGGGGGCATCTTAAGAAAGACTGGCCTTGAACGCATACATACAGAATCCTAACCCCAGAGAAAACTGCCATCAGTTCAGAGAATATAATGGAAACCAGTGAACACGACCACAAATGTGGTGAGGAAAAGTGAAAGCTTTTGGAGAGTGAAAACAGGGGCAAAATGTATTGTGATACAACAGAGACGGCTTGGTGTATGAACACAATTAAGCTCTTTACTGATGATTTGGAATCCGACACTGACTCTGGGTGATCAATTGCAGCAACAACTTTTGGTACAGAACACGGCGAAGAAAGGGAAAAGGGAGAACAAACCTGTTGTCTGGGAGTTGAGTACAGGAATACCATTTTTTATTGTGCTTCACAAATGTTCTGTTTTTTTTACAAATTGAAGGCAAGACCCTCCACCATCAAAAAGATTATGATTCACTTTATCGCAGTGGTCTGGGACGGAGCCCACAGTATCTCCGAGGTGTGCCTGTATTTGAATGTTCAACTCTGAATCTAGGCCAACTCCTTTACGATGAAGAGGAAAATGAAGCACCAACGGGTTAAATCACTTGTCAATGTCACACCTTCTTTAGTAGCAAAAGCTAAAACACTTGGTTGGTCTCTTGATCCCCAGAACATCTTTATATTGCTTTTCAGCACTTTCTCTAAATGAACTTGTGTTCGTTTAAACTGCGAATTAAGATATGATTACCTCCGGGAAGTAGATGATACTACCCAGGAAATACTAGTGGAGAAGTCACAAGAAAAGGAGTCAGTAAAGAACTCTGGAAAACGGCTATATTAAAGGGATTGTGGGAAAAAGAGGAATAGGCAAAGAATACACAAATAAGGGAGAAAGAGAAGGAGAAGCCAAAGAACTGGGTCTTACTGAAGTGTGTTTGTTAATTAATGCACTTGAGCACGTATTCAGTACGATGCAGTGGCACAAGGCCCCAGGGACGGTATAGCAAGCAAGACAGACAAGATTCCTGTCCTCATAGAACTTATATTCTAATGCAATGTCAATTATGTAATCTTCTATAACTAATTCTGCAAATTAAAATATCTTTATTTCCTTGAAATACAGTTTATGAGATTAGTGCTTAACCTTATCTTGTTAGCCTCCATTACTTAAATCTACAAATAGAATGAATTTGCCAACATAAATAGGTATATATAGTAGTACAAGGACATAAATGATGAAATAGAAGACATTAAAAAATGTATTCTTTAAAATGTGTAACACTATTTGACAGAAGATTTTGTTGTAAAACATAATCTTGAGAATTTTCGAAGGAAAAACTTTTTTCATTAAGTAAATCTGCGAATTGATTCTACTACCTGCAGTGGGTGGCATCGATGTCTTTTTTCTCTTCACCTTATTAAAGGAACTGTCACCTGTAACCTCATGACAACAAAATGGAAGAGCACTGAGGACAGGGCTCCACAGAACAATGGGAAAAGTCTCCTAATCTGCAGAGCTTGATTAGAATCCCAGCTGTGTGACCCTGGGCAGTTAGTGACCTCCTGGAGTCTCACTTTTCTCCTCTGTAACCAGGAAGAGCCATTCCCATCTCCCACAGCTTTCAGAAGGTTTGCACACCAAAGGAGAGATATTGTCCTCGGTAAAACAACAAAGTCAGACTGTTTTCTATGCTGGCACGAGAACCAGAGTTTGCCTGAGACTTTTATGTGAAGGTCAAGCAAAACATTCTCACTAAACGCTAAAAGTAAAATGCAATCTGGCAAATAGACACTTGAAAAGCTTTAAAAAAGAAACTGACTGGATAATGATATCACTGAAGAATGCATTTATCTTATGTGCATTTGGCTGGGAGGTACAAAGACTTGGGAAAGTCTTTCTGAAAGGGGGTAAATAATTGCAGATAGGCTATATTTAATATATTTTATAAAACATTGGTGCTCACAAGGTAAGACTCAATCATAATATGAGAAATTAGGTAAAGAAAAAAAAACCAAACAGGGTATATGCTATAATGTTCTACTGACTTAGGAAGAAATTCTATTTTTAAAAAATTTCCAATCTAACAGTCCAGCAAGCAAACCCAACAGAGAGAACACCAACCTAACTACCTAAGCAGCATGCCAGCCTCACTGGTGAGGACTCTAGTTGTCATCTGTCCAGATGGATGGGTGGAGTTGCTCCAGAGGCTCTACCGTGTCCCCAGCAAGGGTTACTGCTCTTAATTCCATTCAATTCTGGACCTGAGAACGACCACCCCACTGCCTCCTGCTGGTTCTGTCTCACCCTTCAGATCTCAGCTTAAACGCCATCTCCTCAGAGAGCCTTTCTCGACCACCAACCTAAGTGATGCCATCTCTCCCCAGTGATTCTCTATCGCTGCATCCAGTTTGCTATATTATTCAGCCTTACAAAGGAAGGAGGTTCTGATACATGTGGATGAATCTTGAAGACATTATGCTAAGTGAAATAAGCCAGACACAAAAGGACAAATATTTTGAGAGTCCACTTATATGAGTTGCCTAGAATAGGAAAACTCATAGGGACAGACAGTAGAATGGTGGTTAACAGAGACTGGCAGGGAGGGAGAATGAGGAGTCACTGTTTAATAGGGACAGTTTGGGACGATAAAAAGGTTCTGGAGATGGATGGTGGCAATGACTGCACGACAGTGTGAATGTGCTTAATGCCACTGACCTGAACACTCAAAAACTGTCAACATGGTAAATTTTATGGTATGCATATTTTACAATAAAAAAATAACATATATATTTAAAAAATCATCACTGACAAAGTCCTTAAAAAGACAGAGCAATCTTACATTCAATTTGAGCTCAGTGTTGCTAAAGACTTAGAACAGAAAACAGAACATAAAAAACTAGAGTGAACACCTTATTTTTAATCATTTCATCTTCTATTTCCCCCGAAGAATATATTTTTATGAAGATATAAAATATTACATGTTGCTAATACTTATAATTTATAATTTGCTTCCAAAAAATTCACTCATTTCTCAAAAGATACTCTTGTAAATTTCTGAATATTTTATTCTGGTCTGGTCCTAAATAACAGAAATTACTAAAAGGCTGATAACTGGGGAGTTAATTTCTGGGAAAATACAGTAACTACTCAATTGCAAAAGCCTCTACAACAGTGGTTCTTAACCAAGATTTTCTCACCATCACCCTCTGCCCTGCCAACTGCCTTAGAAGGCAAATTACCCAAGCACAAGTCAACTGTGACCATTCCACCTAAGGTTCATAGCAGTGTTCAACCTGCCAGTGCCCAGCTTGGCGACTCAGACATGAAAAACCATTGATGTTAGTTATCTTAAAGTCTAAAATGCTAACACTAGCTAGCTATATGCACTGGCAAACAGCAGTTGTGCACAACAATAAGCTCTTGACTTGCACAAATAATCAATTTATTAGAATTTTTCCCAAGTGACATAAACCCAAATAATGTCCCACTATGATTAAACTATGTCCTTGTAAACTTCAGGGTATCTGGCAGCTCCATCCTGATATTTGGTGAAATGTTCAGACAGCAGTAACTTGAAAAAAACTGGTTGCCCATTATTACAGCATACTCTTTTATCTCTATTGTAGAAAACTCCTTACATCCATAACCATTACATTTCTTTTTCTTTGAGAAGATAAACAAAACCACAAAATCACCTAGATACATGGCAAAAATCTGCTGTGTGAATAAGCTGTGATCGACAATTCTGTACTTTTTGCAAGACATTGTCACTTTTTTTTCATGTAGAAATAAATGGTCATCCTGAATCTTGATGCTTTCTAGTATTGATAGGCTCAAAGAAATAAATCTCAAAGATGATAGGCTCAAAGATTTATTTGAGCTAATTCTTCGCTCAAGAATTGATAGGCTCAAAGAAATAAATCTCAAAGAAATAAATCTCAAATAAATCTTTGAGCCTATCAATTCTTGAGCGAAGAATTAGCTGAGATGATAAGTTTGGGGGTTCATGGTCTGTCTTCACCTAGACTATATGAAAGATACAGTCCAACACTTAAACTTAATACATTCATACAAGAAACTGGAACAAATTCATTAACAGTCTGAAAGAAATTATTTACTTTTATATAAGAAATTCTAGTTTGGTTTAAATGTGCTGAGAAAAGTGCTTTATTAACATTCCTTTTCTTAAAGATACTGTTCTTTTAGAGTAATGAAAGAATGACCATTGTAATTTATCTGACAATGAATATGAATGTCTTATATGACTCTTTCCACAGATTTTTCAGTCTCATGTGGCATAGAAATGGCTACTAGATCTGATTTTCTTTTTATTAAAGCATTATAAATATATACATATATATATATATACGCACACATATATATGTACACACAAATACAAT